GACTACAGCCCCACATGACCTCAAGTTCGGAACCCTTCGCACCCGCCCATGAGTTTCAAAAGAGCTCGTACGCTGGAGATTGCTGGCGGTGCCTTCACAGTGGACCCTGAAGCTGAAGCAGAAGATGCTGAAGTGCTCTGTGCGAATGGACAGAAGTTTCGAAAACTCTTGCTTGAACGCTTTTCCTCCGGATCTATGACTGCTGCTGACACGTGTGTGTTGGCATACCTTCACACCGAATCTGGCGGCCGTGGAACTGAAGATCTGGGGCTGGACCCGGAAACAGCGACCAAGCATGGAGCAGAGCATCTTCGGTTCCCGCATCTTAGATTGGCAGTGCTTTTGGTTACGGGTTATGATTTGCTAAGTTGAGGGCCTACTCTGGCATAAAAAGTTTTCGGGCTAGCTTGGGGTCGAAGGTTTGTGGGAGATATAACAGTGTAGAATACCAAAGATGACCAGCTTAAGGTGCCACCTGGGGAAGCACTACGACAAGCCCTATGTGGAGTACGTTGCCGTGCCTATGGTTCGCAAGCGGTCCCTTGGGCGAGCCTCGGTGCAGCATCCTACTAGGGTTACTTCGGACTTGCTTCGCAAAGAGCTTTTAGCTTTGGGGCTTTTGGGCGAGGGTACAAAGCCCGATGCTAAGCTTGTTGCAAAAAACCTGGAAGCCGACAGTGAGTACTTGGCTCTTTACGAGGGCCATCCTGTTGCTCAGAAGGCTTTCGCTGAAGGCTTTCGTCGGGAGCACGTCGTGCCCGTGTCTGTTTACTTTGATGGGGTGCAATACACGAAGAACGAAAATTTTTTGGGCTTCTACATGACCAATCTTCGCACTGGCAAGCAGCAGCTCGTTTGGCTGCTCAGTGCCTTTGCTGAACGATGATCTATGATTATATAGCCGCTCCGGAATCACAACAAACCCACGCTACCAAAATCGGTATCCCTATATCCCTTCAAAACCGCAATAACCCCAAAGCCTAAACCTCTTACCCCTCCGCCCGCGAGGACTGTCGGAGCTTTGCTCCTGTGGCTGCAGGGGGTGGTGCTCGGTTTTTCCGCTGCTAGAGAGCTTTCGCCGAGATATGTGCTTCGATCACCAGGACCTCCGTGCTTGCATCATAGATTACAAGGCGGATTGGCCAGCATACATCGAATTGTGCGGGTTCCGCACCTGGTCGCACAACTTGCACCCCTGTCCGATTTGTACCGTGCACAAGAAGGACCTTTTGTCCGTCGGGACAATGACACTACACAACTGCCCGCACAAGCTCTTCAATAAGACGTCCTACGATCAGCTCGTCGCTTCCAGCTTTCGGGCCACTCGCATCGCAGTTCCAGTTAATTGGTAACCCTTCCGTTACCCGGCAAGCTTTCTGTTTTCGAGCACACTATCAGATGTACGAGAGACGGCTCCAGAAGCCAGGAAACCACAGCAACAATAACCATAGCTAGGTGACACCAGCAGAATCCCAAAGCCAAGCTTCGAGAGAAGGAAATAATTGTGCCGGACGAAGAGACGAAAATGAAAGTCGACAGCTTGCTTTGCAACCGGTCGAAGGTCGGCCGTGGCAGATGTCTTCGAGCCTCTTTCCCGGCCCTCGGCCTGAAGCAGGGCTGGCGGCTCGATCCGAGCCCAGGACTCGAGGATGTCTGCGACTTCGCGAAGAAGCAGTGCCCCTTCAAATGCGTTTTCTTTATCGGGGGGAAGGATGCACGAATTTTGCATGTCTCCCCGTTCCTCCAAATTCCAGGAGTATCGGTGGAGACGTGGTGTGTGGACATCTTGCACACTTGGCACTATGGCCCGATGTCGACATTCATCGCTTACAGCCTTCGGCTTCTTCTGACGACGATGATCTACAGACCGGCGATTCCGGATTTGGAGAAGGTTGAAGCAGACAGGCTGGCTCTGCTATGTCTCCGGGCCGAGCTGTGGACCTACTACAAACGCCTCCGCGAATCAGACTCAGACGGCAGCTGGAAAGCAAAGGGGTCCGAGGCTCCGGCTCCGAGTTTAATAAAGGCCAAAATTCCAACCTTCTTTTCCTTTGATCGATGCATGCCATCTTGCAGGTGTGGAACCTCACTCTATCAATGGTGGCTGGCAAATATCTGAAGGCAAAAGCTGCCGAAACTCATGGGCTTTTGGGCTTTGTGGTCAACAGGCTCGAGATGCACAAGGTTGTTCTCGAAGCGACGGAGCACGCCAACACCTTCGGCTTGCTCTTGCAAGCCGGCCAATCGGCCCTGGACTTCGATGCAGTGATGGCTTCTCACCCGAGAGCGATCGATGAGACAGTTTGCGGCCAGCTTTTCCAGCACTACGACAAATTCATCTGCCTTTGTAAAGAAGCTGGAATGCACCTCATGCCAAAAAGCCATATGATGTATCACTTGTTGCAACGGGCAATCCGGAAAGGGAATCCAAGAATGTACTCCACGTACATTGATGAATCCTTGAACGGGCAAATCGCCCGTATCTGCAGGTCTGTGCACCGACGTAATTGGGCCTTGTCACTGTACGAAAAACTTGCAATGATGGATTCCCTCCAGCAGGAGTGCAGCGATGACGACTGAGCTCCACAACTTCTTCTGGCTACAACTGCTGTTTCTTTCTTCGTGTGCTGCTGCCAGATCGAGCTGGTGGAGTTTGACTCGAGCAGGTCTGACGGCAGCACTTGAACCAGCTTGTCTAAACCCTATACCCCTAATTCAACCCCTATACCCCTAATTCAACCCTAAAACCTTAAGTTCAGGGGTTCTATAGGGCATAGGGTCATATGCAGCCGAGTTTGCAGCAAACATCTTTCATTCTCTGCTGCTGTTCCTAAGCTAGGAAAGTAGGCGGCTTCCTCAGGGATTTTTTCAGTGTCAGGGGTGTCGGGGCTGCTTCTGATGCTCTTCGGGCCCTATGGTTCGGGTTGCTTGTAAAGTTTCTTTGCTATTAAGAGTGTTTTTTTGGTAAGTTTTGGTTTTTGTCGCTTAGGGCTTATAGGGTTTTAGGGTTCCGTGGACTTTTAGCCTTTCTTTTGAAACGATAGTGGTGGTAATAGACTATAAGGGCTTAAACT